GGGAGATACACAAACACAGACATACAGGCACTCAGACACCTAGACACACACAGACAGTGACAGACAAACAGACACACACACACACACACACACACACACACACACACACACACACACACACACACACACACACACACACCAACGCAACTCCATTCAACTACCCCCCCCTCCCTCCCCGTGAGCCCCCCGCCGTCACGTGACCTGAAAGGCAGAGCAGCGACGCCAAGATTAAAATGAATGTAAAGGCGAATTAAGAACAAGGCAGCCGTTCAGCGTGAGACTTCTGGTCTTATTTTCATCATACTTTCTTTCCTGTTTTACATTCTCTTCTTCCTTTACCCTTGTTTCTTGTCTTTATTTCATTTGCTCTTTTGTCTCTTCTTATCATTTATATTTATTTTTTTCCTACTTCATCTCGGATTTTTTTCTCATACATATTATCATTTCTCTTCCTCCTTTTCCATCCTCTTCCTTCCTTCTTCCTCTATCCTCAATTCTACTTTCCTCCTCCTTTCTTCCATGTCTTCACCCCACCTCCCACCCCTTTCCTTCAATCCTCCTCATTCCAATCTCTCCCCTCCATCCCTTCTGCAATCCTCCTCCTCTACCCCCCTCCTCTATCTCACCATCTTCCGTCTTCAACTCCGGTCCTTCTTTTCTTCCTCCTCCCCCCGCATCCCAAAACTCCTCCCTTTCTACTTCAATCCTTCTCCCTTCCTCCTTCCTCCATCTTCAACCTTCCTCCCTTCCTTCTTCCCCCATTCTTAATCCTCCTCCCTTTCTTCTTCCTCAATCCTCAACCCTCCACCCTTCCTTCTTCCTCCTTCTTCAACCCACCTCCCTTCCTCCTTCTCCAATCCTCCTCCCTTCCTTCTTCCTCTATCCTCCACCCTCCACCCTTCCTTCTTCCTCCTTCTTCAATCCTCCTCTCTTCCTTCTTCCTCTATCCTCCTCCCTTCCTTCTTCCTCCTTCCTCAACCCTCCTCTCTTCCTTCTTCCTCTATCCTCCACCCTTCCTTCTTCCTCCTTCTTCAAACCTCCTCCCTTCCTTCTTCCTCAATCCTCAACCCTCCTCCTTTCTCCCTTCTCCGTTCCCCCTTTCCCCTTCCGGTCGCCACACTATTCATTTCTTACTCGGTTCCCAAAGTTTGTTGAAAACCCCTATGCATGAAAATACTCAAAGAACGGACATTTCCAAACGTTTCGACTGTTTCATTTTTTTTGTTTCATCTTTTCTTTTTTAGAAATGGTATGGGCATAAAGATAAAGATATACCCAAAAAGTAGAGTTTAAAGAAAAGAAAGAAAGAAAAAAAATAAACGCATAGGAAGTTTTTCTCTTTTTTTCTCTAAAGTTTACACTAACAACATTCTGGAAGCGGAAAAGAATAAATAAATAAAATGGTATCCGGAATTATAGCGAAAAATAAAAACAAACTTCGGCAGTTGGGACAAAATTTATTCTGAAAATCATAAACACAATAGTTAAATGACTTCCTGAATCTATCTGCAATGATGATAATAATGATAATAATGATGATGACAGTAATGATGATGATGATGATGATGATGATGATGATGATGATTACAACAGCAACAACAATAATTATGATAATAATAAGAAAAATGATACTGATGATGATACAAATAATAATAATAATAAATAACAGTAATCGTAATGATAAAAAAAATGATAATTATCATTACATCACCATCCTCATCATCAAAATAGTCCCAATAATCCCCATCAAAAACTCAAACTCTCACAACCAAGCCATCAGTCACGTACCTTCGACCTTGAGGTAGATCCACGGCGAGTGCCTGGTGCCGGCCGAACTCCTGGCGGTGCAGCGGTACCAGTCCTCGGCCTCCTTGCCCACGGCGTCCCACCTCACGCCCTTGTCGTCCACCCGCACGCCCAGTCGAGCTGCAAAACAACAACAACGACAACAAATGAGATAAGAACAGGAGGGACTGATAACAAAAGAGCATAAAGAGATAAGATTAGAAGGGTTTGGTAACAAAAGAGAATACAGAGAGAAGAACAGGAGGAGGAGAATGAGAAAAGGACAGGAAGGACTGATAACAAAGGGAGATAATGAGATAAGGGTAGGAGGGACTCACAACAGAAGAAGAGGAGGAGGAGGAGATGAGAACACGTGGGACTGATAAAGAAAGAGGACAATGATAAGAATTAGTGAAAATAACGAAAGTTCCAAATAAACAAACAAAGAAACTGATAACAACGACAACGATGATAGTGGGACAAAGGCAATAATATAACATAAATCAAAGAAGATGACGAACATTGAAAAGAAATCGGGGATTCCAAAACAAAACAATGGACGTAACGAGAATGACAACAATTGCAGGGATTGAGAATAGCAAGAGCACCGGGAATATTAGCAACAAAAAAAGGACTATGAGAATTAACAAAAACAATGAGGATTACGGCCATGACAAGAACAAAGGCAACAGAGGATAATGGACACAACAAAAAAATGATAAAAATGACAATAATAATAAGGTATTATCAACATCAAAAACAATAACACAGAACAAAGATTTATGCAAAATAAGATGGAGAGGAAGAGACAACCGAGGAAAAAGATAAAAGGAATGAGAAGATAAAGAAGACCAGAAAAATGCTAGTAAAATACGAAGAGAATGATGATGAGAATAAATAAAGTAAATAAAAACAAAATAAAAAAATACATGAAACACACGAAGAAAATGTAATAAAATAAAAGATAAAAAAAAACGAAAATAACCTTGGAAATAAGAGATGAAGATAAACTGAAGTGAATAACGGAAACTAGATAACGAGAAGAAAGAGAAGTGAATGATAAGAAACGAGAGAGTAAGAGAAATGGAAAAGAATTAAACAGTAACACGAAGACACTACGAAAATTTAACGAGAATAGCGAGAGACGAAAAAACAAAAATAACAAACAAAAGATAAGACAAAACAAACAAACAAAACAAGAACAAGGCCAGCGGGGCATTAATTATCATGGCCGCGACAGTGATGATGAATAATAATAACAACAACAACAACAGCGGAGGTGTAATTAGTCTTTGTGTACATTCCATAATAAATGGCGATAATTATCATAATTGCAAAAGCAGCGAACATTATATACAGCGACATCCACGATATTGCATGGTAAATAAGGCAACAAAACCTGCAACGAGACATAACCATCAAAATCTTAAATGGAGTGGAAAAAAAGAGATTAGGTGATAAACAAGGAGGATAAAACAGACGGAGTAAACAAAGCGAGAACAGAGTGGAAAGGAAAAAAAATATGAAAGAAGGACACATACGGAGAGAGAGAAAGCTAAAAAAAGGTAAGGATGAGATGGAAAGGAAGAGAAAGGAAGAGAGAGCGAGAAAGAGAAAGGAAGAGAGAGCGAGACAAAGGGAGAGAAAGGGAGAGAGGGAGGGAGAGAAAGGGAGAGAGGGAGGGAGAGAGAGAGAGAGAGGGAGAGGGAGAGAGAGAGAGAGAGAGAGAGAGAGAGAGAGAGAGAGAGAGAGAGAGAAAGGGAGAGAGGGAGAGAGAGGGAGAGAGGGAGGAAGGGAGGGAGAGCGAGAGCGAGAGAGAGAGAGATTCAGATTCTGCATATTTTATTCCCTTAGTTAGAGAGGGAGAGGGAGGGAGAGAGGGAGAGAGGGAGAGAGGGAGGAAGGGAGGGAGAGGGAGAGCGAGAGAGAGAGAAAGGGAGAGAGAGCTTCAAATTCAGATTCTGCATATTCTATTCCCTTAGTTACAACGACTATTTTTACATAAACGACAATCAAATAAATGATAATCAAGACAACTTAATGAAATAAACACACAAATATAAACTCCATATCTAGAACTTGATAACAAAGCAAGACAAACGTACGAAAATAAAGTACACTCTCTCACAATATGCCTAAGTACTCGATTTCACAGATTATTCCCAAACAGAAGAAGCGGACAATCCGAAAAAAAAACAAAGATGAGGAAAAGAGTGAACGAAGAAGACAAAGGCGAAAGGTGACAACGCTAATGACACGTGGCGCACGAAGAGGACGTAATGCCGATAATAATAACAATAAAACAGACATGCCATTACGTAGGCTCCCCCCCTCCCCCCCCTCCCCTCCCTACCGGACCCGCCTTTCCCACCCGCAGGCGACGCGGCGGGGGGGCGGGTCACCTCGCCCACCTGCGCTCGAATTCTCGTTTTCCTCTTTATTTTCCTTTTTTCTTTCTCGTTGGTTTTCTTTTTTTCTTGTTTTCTGTTGTTTTTTTCTATCTCTCCCTCCTCTCTCTCTCTCTCTCTTCCTTCCCTACTAACCTCTATCCTCTTATATCAGAACCTGTCCATTAATTCGTAATCTCTCCCCCCTCCGGTTTCCACTCCCTCTCCTTTCCCTCTCCTTTCCCCCTCCTTTCCCTCACACCCTCACCACTCCCTCACCCTCCCTTTCACCCTCATATCTTGACCCTCCCCCCTCCCTCTCCCTCTCCCCCTCATCCTCCCTCTCACCACCACAACACCTCCTCCCCCACCACCACAACAACAACAATGACAGCCTAATTACTCGCCTAAACCGGAAAGCAGAAAAAAATTGTCGTCCCACCGAGCAGCTGAAGAGATAATTTCACGGGACACAAAATATGCAGATGTCAGGTTGGACGCCCGACGCTCTGCCTCTGTCGGTCGCGCTGGGGGTCGCTCGGGCGTGGCGCGCCTCCTTGCATTCACTCCCCTGTCGGTCTGTCTCCGTCTCTTCCTTTTTCTCTTTCTTTTTTTCTTTCGCTCTGTCTCTCACTATTCCTTTATTTCTCTCTCTCTTCTTTCCTATCTCTCTCCCTCCCTCCCTTTGTGTGTATTTGTGGGTGTATGTATTTATGTGTGTGTGTGTGTGTATGTGTGTGTATGTGTGTGTATGTGTGTGTGTGTGTGTGTGTGTGTGTGTGTGTGTGTGTGTGTGTGTGTGTGTGTGTGTGTGTGTGTGTGTGTGTGTGTGTGTGTGTGTATGTGTGTGTGTGTATTTGTGTGTGTGTGTGTATTTGTACGTGTGTGTATTTGTGTGTGTGTGTATTTGCGCGTGTGTGTATTTGTGTGCGTACGTATGTGTGCATATGTGTGTGTACGCTTTATGCAGGTACAAATACATACACTCGCACAAGAATAAATGTCATTCCCCTTTTGCAAATGCGAATTTAAATATATATAAATGTCAAAATGTGATACAGCCCCGACATAAAACACGAAAAAGCGAGAGAGGAAAAGACTAAAAAGACCCGCTTCATGGCCAGCAATTTGCAAGTTAAGTGGCCTAAAATTGATAAATAGAGCTATCATTCTTTGTGGGGGGGGGGGGGGGGGGGGAAGAGGACGGAGCTGAAGAGGACTGTCCAAGATAATGAATCCCGTGTCCCGCTGAAAGGACGGGTGGCACGGCTGTTTCCACGCCCTCGTTCCCTTTCTCCTCCTCTTCCCTCCATCTGCATCTCCCTTTCCCTTATTCTTCTCCCCTATCCCTTACCACGTTCTTCTTTCACTACCCTTATCCTCCTTTCTCTTCCCTTTCTGACCTTCCCCCTCTTTATCCTCTCCCTTTCACTTGCATCTTCCCTCATCTCGTCACCATCTCTCTTCCCTCCTCCGCTTCCCTCTTCCCTATTCCACCCCCTTCCTCCCCTCCTCTTCTCCTCTCCCCCTTCCCCCCCCCCCCATCCGCGTGCCTCCATGACCCAATAACCCGAGAACTTTGTGAGTCACGAAGAACCAGAAAAGTCGTGACTGGTTCACAAGACTGCGTGTACATGTGTGTGTGTGTCTATCTGTGTGTGCGTGTGTTTTCATGTGTGTTTGTCTTTATGTGTGCACGTATGTAACTAAAAGATTGCGCGCATGCAAGTTTGAGTGCACACACACATCCCTGAGTACTCCCACCCCCGCCCCTCGCACACCTTGCCTCACCCGGCGAGCCCCGAGCGCATAAATCGGGCGGGATCGCGCGGCGCCAACAGCCCCGAGGCACTAAAGAGCCCGCAATCACCAACCTGCGCCTCCCCCCCTTCTCCTCCCCCTCCCCCTCCCACCCATAAGAGCTCCGCGATACACGACCAACAACACACATTCCGGCCTAATCTACATCGCCGCTAAGTCCCAATATCCCACGATCTACAACGCCCCATTGAGCCTAATATACACGCGCATAACGACCCCGGATCGCGTGAATTAGAACAGGAAGGAAGGAAGGAAGGAAGGATGGAGGAGGGGTGAAGGAGGGGAGAAGATGAGAGGCAGAACGGGGAGGGAGGGGGAGGGAGACGGGGGGGGTGTTAAACGTATTAGTCTTCCCCTCAATTCCATTCTCCTTTCCCTCCTTCCACTCCCCCCCCCCATCATCCCATCCAAACCCTCAACAATTCCAGAAATTTCCAACCGCGTAACAATAGCTCACGGAAAGACCTCCTATGTCCGGCACTAACCCGATCCGACGTCCCCTGCCCCACCTTCCCCACCTTCCCCTCTCCCTTCTCTCACCACCTTCCCCTCTTCCTTCTCTCATCACCTTCCCCTCATCCCCTCCTTCCCTCCCCTCTCTACCCATCATCCCATCCTTTCTTCTCTTCTCTCCCTCTCCTCTCACCCATTTCCTTCTCTCCATCATCCCCCCTCACCCCTCTCCCCTTATCCCTTCACACCACCTCTTCCCCCCTTCCCCTCATCCTCCCCAGCTTCCCCTTACCCCTTACCCCTCTCCCCTCACCCCCCTCACCCCCCCGCACGCCCCTCGAATTCACGAATCGTCCTATTCACGCGGGGCGGAGAGCGACGGCGAGTAACGACTTGAGGGACAATGGACGGCGGAGGATGACTGCGGCGACTTACGACTGATGGAAAGGACGTATTTTCGGGACATGAGGGTCCGGCGTTTGGGTTCGGGCGAGGGAAGGCGCGAGGGGGGGAGGTGGAGGAAGGAAGAGGGGAAGGAGAGGGTGGAGGAAGGAGAGGAAGGAAGTGGAGGAAGAGGAGAAGGTGGAAGAGATGGTGGAGGAGGTGCAGGAAGAAAGAGAGAGGGGAAGGAAAGGGGGGGAGAGAAGAGGAAGGAGATGGAGGAAGAGGAGAGGAAGGAGTGGAGGAAAAGCAGAAGGTGGAAGAGGTGCAGGAAGAAAAAGAGGTGAGAAAGTGGAGGAAGGGGAAAGGGAAGGAGGTGGAGGAAGGGGAAGGGGAAGGGGAAGGAGGGGGTGGAGGAAAATGAGGGGAAGGGCAAGGGGAGTAGGAAAAAGTAGGTGAAGAGGAAAAGGTGGAAGAGAGGATGGCAGTGGAGGAGGAAGAAGACAGGAGGAAGTGAAAGAAGGAAGAGGAAGAGGAAGTGGACGAAAAGGATTAGAATTAGGAAAATGAGGAGTCTGTAACGGAGAGAGAGGATATACAGGAGGGTGGACATGGTGGATGGAAGGGGGAGGAAGAGGAGTAAGGGGGAGAAGGAGGAGAAAAAGGAGATGAA